TTTTACATCTAAGTGGTGAAGCTCCCACCCATGAGTAGCTGCTAAGGCTATAAGAAATCGAATAGTTTCAATTCGAGCTACCGGGGCAAACACTTCCTGAAAATCAATACCGGGTTGTTGCACGTAACCTTTAGCAACCAACCTTGCCTTGTATTTATTAATGGTGCCATCTGCATTTTTCTTTAATTTGAACACCCACTTGAGTCCAATTGGCTTCACCCCCATAGGTTTGTTCACAAGAGTCCAAGTATTATTTTTGTTTATTGACTTGATTTCCGTATCCATGGCCTTGACCCATTTTGGTTCTTTCTTCGCTTCTTCAACCGATACCGGCTCGTCATTGGTTGTTAGAAGGAGTTCTTCGAGATTGTCAAGATCAAGCTCATAATCTTGAAATCGTCTTGGAGGTACTCTTGCTCTCGAAGGTCTTTGGTTTGCAGCTCCTTGTTGAACATAATTATTTACCGGACTTAGTGGTTCATTGTCTTGTACATCCGCTCCGTCTCCAATCTCTTGATCCGATTCAATTGGATCATTGTTTACATCGTTTCCTTGGTTGTTGTTCACATCTTCTCTTGGATAGTCCCATGGTATTATGAATGAACCCGGTTCTTCATTGTTGATTCCTGCTTCTTTAATCCAATCCCACCCTTTGGTTTCATCAAAAATAACATCTCGACTCACGATTATTTTTTGTGTTACCGGGTTAAATAACCGGTAAGCTTTCGCACCTGGTTCGAAACCAATATGGACTAGTGGTCTTGATCTTGCATCCAACTTCTTTTGATTAACCGGTTCAACTTTTGCATGTGCTAGACACCCAAATATACGAACATTTTCTAAATTCGGTTTTCTTTTATACAACTTTTCGTATGGAGTTGTATCACCAAGGACTCTTGTGTAGACTCGATTGATTAGATTTGTTGAGTGATTTACCGCTTCTCCCTATAAGTAGTTTGGAACATGCATTGCCTTCATTATACTCCGTGTCATGTCCATAAGAGTTCGGTTTCTTCGTTCCACAATTCCGTTTTGTTGTGGAGAGTATGGGGCGGTGAGATGGCGTTTAACTCCGTTTTGTTCACAAAAAGAATTAAACTCGAGAGAGGTAAATTCACCTCCTCGATCACTTCTAAACACTTTCAAAGGCTTTTCAATTTCATTTTCCACCAAAGCTTTGAATTTTTTGAAGTATGTAAACGCCTCGCTCTTTTCTTTTATGAGATAAATCCACATAAATCGTGAAAAATCATCAATTAGTGTAAAAATGTACCTATTTTGACCTTTGGTTGCCGGCGTGATCGGACCACATAAATCTCCGTGAACAAGCTCCAATGGTTGTTTTGCTTTGTATGTCGTCATGGTTGGGAAGGACTTTTTCGTTTGCTTGCCGACTAAGCATGATTCACATAATTGATTCTCATGATCTAATTGAGGTAACCCTTTGACTAAACCCTTCTTGGACATCTTTTTCATTGACTCGAAATTGATGTGCCCAAGTCTTGCATGCCATCGCCACGCATCTTCACTTAGTCTTGAATGAAGGCAAATAGGAACTCCAATCTGTAATTTTATTTTATAAAGGCGGTTTGAAGTTCTTTGTACTTTCATTAATAGGCAATTATCGGCATCGTGCATGGTTAAATAGTTGTCTTTCATTCGAATATCACACCCAGCTTCAGTTGCTTGTCTGAGACTTATAATGTTGTTCTTGAGATCCGGAATGTAGTAAATTTCTGTCATCAGCCTTTGTTGACCTTTCTTGCCTTGGAAAAGTATAGCACCTTTTCCCTTGATTTTTACACACGAGTTGTCTCCAAATTTAACCCTCCCGGTTATGCCTTCGTCAAGCTCGGAGAAAAATAACCGGTTCCCCGTCATGTGATTGCTCGCCCCATTATCCAAATACCACACATCGTTTTCTTGTGAGTCGTATCGAGACGGTATCACCTTCTCTTCATTCAAAAACACGGTCTCGTGTAAAAATACGGCCTCGTCGGTATCGTCATATTCAACAAAATTACTTTCTTGTAATTTTTTGATTCGGTCCGGACATTGAGACGCAAAGTGGCCTGGTTTATCGCACCGGTAACAAATAATTTTGGATCGGTCCTTTTTTGGTTTACTATTTGGATCAGAATTGAAATTGGGCCTACTATTGGATTGGTTATTATTGGACCGACTATTATTTGATTTTCTTTGGGCCTGTTTTGATTTAAATCTACTTGAGCCTGTTCCATTGGATCCATTTGACCCACAAGTTACGGATCCAGTTGAGTTATTGAACGCATGTGTTTTGTTCCCACTCCCAGACCCGTGAGCCTCCATCGTTTTCCCCTTTGCTTTCCAATTCCGATTCGATGATCCACCGTGCTCGACGAACAGAGCTTGTTCTTTCTCACCACCATAGGAATCTTCTTCTCTGATCCTCTCTTCATACGCCTTCATCCTTCCGACTACATCATTGAATTTTGTACTATTTAAGTCTAGAATCTGTTCGAGTGATGCTACCATATGAATGAATTTTCGTGGCAGTGATTTAAGGAATTTCTTTACAAGCTTGGATTCGTCGATTACAGATCCTAATGCCGCCGATTTTGAAGCAATTCCAGACAACTTTCCGGAGAAACTGTCGATCGTCTCTGATTCGTTCATCCTGAGGCGATCAAACTCGGCACTTAGGGTTTGAAGACGGGCCTCCTTCACTCGATCAGCCCCAATGTATCGAGTCTTGATTGCATCCCAAAGCACCTTTGAAGACTTGACATCACCAATTTGCATTATCAAGCTTTCTGGAATTGCCTGATAAAGCAACCCCATAGCAAGGTAATCTTTCTCCTCGTTCTTCTCTGTTCCAGGGTCAATCACACTCCAAGCCTTATGAATTCTTAAGACTACCTTCATTCTTAGTGACCAGACCGTGTAATTCGTGGAATTCAACATGGGACACTGAACAGAAGTTGATCCGGTTTCTTTCACAGTCACCGGTCCTCCATCGTCCCCTGTATCAGCCATGTTAACCTTACTTGTCAACAGGTAAGAATTGATTCAAGGCTTCTTGACTCAAGCTCTGATACCAATTCAAGGAATTAAAGACACGAATAATCAAAATATCTCTTTGATTAATAGGAAAATAACTCAAAACCTATGTTGTGTTTTTATGTACAAACCATATCTCGGTATCTATACATATATATATATATATATATATATATATATATATATATATATATATATATATATATATATATATATATATATATATATACTCCTAAACTACCTAACTTGTAGAATAAGATTGCAATTAGGAAACATGACCAACTTGCCATATTTATTGATTACTTGGTCTCCAAGGTCCTGCATGACTTTAGGATTCCAACAAAGCTCTCTGACACTCTCAGTACAACCACTCTCGTAAGTCACTAACTCGACTGTCAGAGCGTTTTTCAGGATCCCCTCCCGGATAACGACTAACAGATCATTTTTTGTTGTGATCTCAGATGATCGACAACGCAGGCCCAACCAATAGAAGAGATCGGAGATTTGAGTCACACCATTTGGTGTCGTCCGGTGTGTAAAAATCGATACTAAAATCCAAAAACCTAGGAGACGCAGGGACAGACGCATGAATACATAATAGGTGTTAACGAGATGAAATAGGTATTGCCGATACATGAAAATTTGAATTCCATATTCTTGAATTCCACGTGTAACAAAAAAAAATTGAAAAATTGTTTAGTGCGGACAGAAAAAGCAGGTGTTGCCGGTGTAACACGGGACTAAATCCGCCCTTGCTAAAAGCGACAAATCAACAGTGGCACAAATTCCTACTTTCCTTTTTCCTTGGTAAAGACCAACACAAAACGATAGAAACTATTTTTACTTCTTTAGTTGGGTAGTCAGTATACTTCTGGAAGTATAATGTTATAAAAATATTGTAAGTGCATTTCATGGATATACATCATTCACTGCTTTTGTAGCTGTTGTGACCTTATGGCCCTATATGCAATTGGTTGGAAATGTTTTTGCAGAGTTGCTGCTAATATTATAGATTAAGTGCCGGAGTTTCGGTAAAAAATTTGTGACAATTTAAGGGTAGTGTAAGTGCTTCTCAACTTAGTATTTTTAGTCTAGAACAAGGGCAGTAGCACAATGAAAAAAGTGATAGAAGCACGACTTGCAATAATGAGTAAATAGGGTCAGAAACAAGGGCAGTTTGGTCAAGGTCTCCTTAACCTAGACCTGACCTTGGACTTCTGTGGCGCTAGAAATTGACAATATTGCCCTTATTGGATAAATCATTAATATCTCTCTATTCAGAACATTTTTCGCTAAGGACTAACCAGGGTCCGCATGAGGCCAAATTCTTTAATTATATTATATGAGGAATTACAATTTAATGAATTTACAAAAAATAAAACCACTCGACCGACTAATACGATATGCAATTAAACAAACTTAAACAAACTAAATAGTTTATGGTTTTCAATTCGACAATTAATCAACCCTCGTCTCTTTAAACTTCCACTTCAAGAAAATATCAATTAAATTCTTATTAGTTATTATATCTTTTATTCATTTTATTTTTTTTATAACGTTTACACACGCACCCAATATACTACTAATATTCTACACCTTGAATCTCAAAGGAGACTTCAACCCTCGCTGAGGAGTACATATTTATCAATTTCTATTACTCCTAGGTCAAAAGCCCTTTGAGTATTACATCTTTAATTTAATAGTAAATGTTCTAAAATGGAGCATCGATCGTAGTGTATGCGTTTATATTCTAACTAATTACTTTATTACTAGAAAGTTAATGATGATTATGAAGAAGTGTTTATAGTCATTTGGAAATTTTGGACGATTCATTCTTGCAAAAGTCGATCTTTCTTTGTCAAAATTTCTTTCAAGCTTATAGGCTATATTATGTTATGAATATATAAAATATATTTTAATATTTTATTACGATTTAAGCCCTCTTTATCTAAAAATTCTAGCTCTGCCACTGGGACTAACAGTTTAATTGGAATGGGGATCGAAATTGTTAGAATGATTTAGGAAAAGCATAAACGAAACTTTCTCTTTAATTAAGGTTTTATTAATGAAGAAAAGAAAGAATGAACAGAAAAGAATTAACGGTTTACTCCTACTTATACAAAAAGAATTTGAAAGATAATCTAATAGTAACAGAGATGAAAGAAATTAAAAAGACTTAAACCAAAATAAAGAAAATTCCCAAATTAATATGCCCGAATTCTGAATATCTCCAACAGATATACATGTTGCAGCATAGATAATTGCTTCTTCTCATTCGGTGGCCAGAATGTTGTAGATGGATCTGATCATATCTAGAAATCGGTTGATGATGTTATTGTTACAGGAAGGACTTTCTTGTTTCTACGCATAATGGAAATTTCTGATGTGATAATAGCCGCTATAATAACAGTCCCCATCAATATAAATAATCCAATAAAACTCTGAACATCAAGACTTTGTGGGGGGGTTTGATTAGATTGCGATGTATCATTTGAGAACCCAAGATATTTTGTCTTCGTTTCCATCATAATTTGACTTTCAGTGACCTTAATGACTGCCTTAGAAAATTCCCGTAATAAAAGAGATTGAAGAGGAAATGCCTGGGATATATAGTAAACATATGCAATTAGTGAATTTATTAATAATATGTTGTAATTCATGTGAAATTATTCTTTTGTACATATCTTGGAGACCACTAATAGAATCACATGATTAGTTGATTAAATATAGGAAGAGACTTACAAATGCAATTCCGGATTCCTGGTTTATTGGTCCATACTTCATGTAGCGAGAGCCATACTTAGCAAGAAACAGTTCGATGTATGGGAGCTCATCAATAATAACACTAACCCTGTTATTGGTCAAAGCGCTTTTATATTCTTCAATGCTTTTGAGAGGAAAAAGTTGCTTGTCAGAGCGATTGAATTTTTGCGCTATATGTTCTTTAAAAAAGGAACCGGCTTGGTATCCAATGTTATCAAAAGTTGGAGGCAAGGGACGTAGTTGATCAAGTGTTAACCATGAGGACAAAGTAGCAGTGAAAATTTGAATAACTATGAAAATCATACTTAGCCAGATCACAAGCACAACTTTGGAGCACTTATTTTGTATCTTACCTGCAAAAAGAAGATGCATAAATTATTTGCATAGAAATAATGTCTTCATTTCATTAATTTGTTTTCCGACCATTGATGTGATTTATTTTTTAGAAAAAATAACACACACTTGCTACTCTACTTCTAATTCTACATCTTCCATAATAAGTAGAACTTGAACCTTCAACCTTTGGTTTATGAGCATCTTTGTGTCAACCCGTATACAACCTAGCCAAAGGCCCTTTGGCTCATTGATGTCGTATTACTCCACCATTTTAAAGAAAACGGTTTGTTTATAAACATTTGATTTTTTTAACGTATGGTGGATTTTATTGACCAAAGAAGGACGATTAATGAACCACGACACCCTATTCTATTGATTTCCCTTCGCAACGAAGAGAAAGCCAAACTTCTGTGCGCTAAAACTAACCGTTTATTTCCTATTATTTTAGTTTTTTTGTTTTTACAATCGACAACTATTTGACACACAAAACTAAAATTAAATTCAAAATGTAAGCTTCTTCTTAGACTTTAAATTTCAATATATCTCAAAATATGTACCTTCATGGAAGAAGAATGCTGAAATGGGAAACCAGATGACCATTATGAGTTGGGTATAAATTGGGCCTGAAAAACTAAGGTTTTTCTCCCGGCATTCTAAAATTGCAAGTGCAACCCCAGTGAGGAGACATACGGCAACTATTGTGATCCACAGTCTCCATGTAAAAGGTCTAAAGAAAGTCCACAAGGTTTGGTTCCATTGGTGGGCAGCAGGTGCAAGCACATAAACTTCTGAATTCAGGTAGGGAGTTGTAAAGTCAACGTATTGAGCTCTGTTAACCCGAATTGTTATATCACCTGCGACAGCTTCACAAGTCTACAAGATAGAAAGTAAGAACTATTTTAACTTATAATTAACATAATGATGTATTAGGGCATCCACAACGAATTAAACAAAATAAAGTTTAATTCATTGTCATATTGTGGTTCTACTTGTGAAACATATATACAACACTACTATTTTTTCACTACAAGGCATTGAACCATATAAAAGTTCAAAGGAATATATATATATATATATATATATATATATATATATATATATATATATATATATATATATATATATATATATATATATATATATATATATTGTCATTTATTTTGCCACAATTTTGTGGTTATTTGAAATTAATTTTTATTTCACATATCATTTTATGGTTTTTTTTTCATTTTATTAAATTGTAAATAATATTTATATTCAATAATAAATGCATATCGATTTTATTAATAAACTTTCCTTTTAATTTTAAAATTACCAAATTAAAGATTCATTAATTTTCTTTATTTATTTATATAAATATAAATTATTTGTTTAAATTTAAAAAGGAAAAAACACTTTAATTTTTATAATTCAATATTTTCTTACTTTTCTTATAAATTCATACTTTTCATGTGTTTATAAATTTGTATTTCATTTTTTTTAAATAAACTCATGTAATACATTGGTCTCACATCTTGTGTGTGTGTGTGTATATATATATATATATACATATATATATATATATATATATATATATACTAGCAGTGTACCCGCGCAAAGCGGCGGGGCGTGTAAATTCTTTTGGTGATATGTTTTCTCTACAAAAATGTTATTTTCCAAAAGAAAGTACATGTCGAAGACAAAATAATCAAACTATGGTGTTATTTGGGAGATGAAGTCATTTTTTGTTCCTAGACGGTGGGCTTTATAGCAGAGGAGGGAACAAAGAGGTATATGCGATTGGAGGGATATTTGAATGAACATGCTAAATTTAAGGATATCTAAAAGGGTTCAAAATTTGAATGAATCCGGGATTTGAGGGAACCATATCAAATTGTTGAGAAATATAAGGAGATTTGATGATAAATATTTGAATTCAAAATGTGGTTAAAATTTAATATTATTTTATTAATGGTTACTTGTACTATCAGCTTCATCATTTGGACGTCTTAAAAAAATAATATTATTATAATCAATCTATTTTTAGAAATAGTTAGATTTTTTTTATAAGATAGTAAAGATATATATATAGAGAGAGAGAGAGAGAGATACATTTATATGTGAGTCTAAATGTTCCACTAGTATGTAAATGTATAACTAATTTATGGCCAATATAATCATTCATTAAAGATTTTTATTTATTTTTAATTAATCTTTAGGTGTTAGTTTAGTCATTTTATTGATTATGAATTTAATTCTATAAATACATGATTTATGGAAAGAGATCCTCTCTCTTTATGCTCATCGTCGCCATCACTACGGGTGTGTTCGGTAAAATTATCTGTTAGCGGGTAATTTGTAGCTTGTAGCATTTTGTTAAACGCTACGTGAAATAGCATTTGGATTTGGAGCATTTTAGTTAAAGTAAACGCTACAAGCTTGTAGTGCCAGATAAGGTTTTTTGTTCAAAACGGAGCGTTTTGTCATGCACTAAAAGCTAGAAGCTCTAAAACACTCCCAAACGCTCTGTGCCGAATACGCCCAACACCTCTCAATATTATTCTTCCCCTCTCAAAACCCTAACCTTAATACCCTTCATGAGCACCGACACTTGCAGATTGAATCGCAACTGTCGCCACATGCCACTACCTTCCTAGTCCCTCATCATTCTTCCTTTTTTTTTTTTTTTTTGTTTCACCTTCTCTGATGAATGAACCGGAGAAATGATAAAATCATGCCCCTTCCATACGTCGACTGAAAGTGAAGAGACAAATCACTATCACCACCGATAATCTTCTACAAATGCCCTACCTTCGATTTTTCTTTCATGCATTTGTGATTTTTCACTACGTATCACCAGCTAACTCAATTTTTTTTTAAAACCATGTTCTCTTTTCTGCATCTTACATTGACTGCGTTTGCGACCCTTCACGACCTCTGGTGCATATTCTCCGACGACCACCATTGGCCATTGTTCATAGATGTTATCCCACCATTCTTCCTTGTTCATTCTCTAATTGTCAGTCCCTTTTCTACTTGTCGACTGCTCCATATATATATATATATATATATATATATATATATATATATATATATATATATATATATATATATATAGGTTTATTTTGGTGGTCTTTTCTGCTATATATAGGCTATTAATAGTTAGATTTTTATTTATTTATTTATTTATTTTTTTGTATTTTATATTTCTTCTATACAACACTAGAAGTTTAGAAAAAAATGTGATCAAACATTTTTTAAGCTCTTAAAAGAATTTGATAGATTTGTATGTTACCATCCGTTATGTTGTTTTAAATTTTGTTTTTTTTCCTAATTCTTTTTGTTAATTTCATTTGTTTATGTCTGCTTACAGTCTAATGAATATAATATTTTTTGCTAGATGCATGTTTTAACAGGGTTTGGGTACGCTTGGAGACTCATATACCAAACTTTCATGGAATTCTTGAATGTTGATTGGCAAAAGTAAGCGTATTTAGGGTTATTAAAAATTTTCTGCTTTTCTGTTATTCTTTCAAAAATGATGTGTAATCTTTTTAAGAATAGTTAGATTTTAGTAAAAAATTCATTATTTTAGTGTTATTCTTTAAAAACCGATTAGGATGTATTGTATTTTTTGTTAAAAGGAACGATGGGCTTCAGAGACTAAATGATAGGCTTTAGAGACTATACTTGTAAATTGTAACACAATAAGTAATTCGCATAAGAATGTTTTCATTTTTCTGTTAGAATTCTCTAATTTGCATGATTTTTTTTCTTTCTTACCAGAATGATTCTCCAAAAATTGTTACGAAAATCATCATTTTTGAAAATGTGTTGTTTTAGAACAATTGTATTTTTTTTCAAGAATAAAAATGTATTCTGTCAAGAAAATAATTTTTTTATGTAAAAAATAATAATAAATTTGTTTCGTAAAAATCCTTAATTCATTATTTTGTTTTCTTAAATAAATATACACAAAATGTCTAAATTACCCTTAAAACATTTTAAAATTTGAATTCTTAAAAAAATAATAACAAATATAATAATATTTTTTCAAAAATGATTCTATTTTTCATTGAACCAATTTCTAAAATTTAGTTACACATTACACAATAGATGGTAGTTACAACTGATCATATATATATATATATATATATATATATATATATATATATATATATATATATATATATATATATATATATATATGTGTGTGTGTGTGTGTGTAAGAGACATTAAACTCCATATCCATTGAACACCAATTTGGTATTCCATTATTGTTGAATTTAATCCATTCAATATCAACTAAAAATTCTATGTTATTATACTTTTTTCATTAAAGTATGCATTGTGAATGATTGTTTGTTTGTTTTTGGTTATGTTTGGTGTTTAAATAAAATATGTATGAATTTTTAAAATGTGTGTGTTTGGTGCATGGATATAGATATGTTTCGAAAAATGTACCTGGTTTTCAATATGCATTACTAGTTGATCATAGTCACCATTACTTTTCCCATGATCATCGACGAAAGGTATGAAAATAGGTTGAACACTATATGGTAATAGATGTAATGCATGGCAGAATATGGCTATGGAGAATCCACCTTCGAGTTTTGATTTCTCGTTCACTTTTACAAACTCAGTGAAGCCATCTTTCTTTGGCACCCATACTACTAATGTTGGACATGGACTTTTCTTTTTCTTGGACATGTTCCATTCTGGCCCTATAATGTCTTTTATGGCAATCAAATATCAAACCCTTCCGAATCAGTATGAATAAGAAGAAAAAAAAATGTAGCAGAATAAATAAGAATTATATAAAGTTAATATTATGGTAACAATAACAGCACGCAACATCAAATATCAAACCCTATTAAAATAAACCATGATTAACTTCTTCTGCTAATGCTTGGCAATTATATCAAATATAAAAGCTCATATACCATAGGAGGTAACAATAAGTTAATTATTTTCTTAATAATAGACAACTCTGATGTTTATTTTTCTTTGTTGTTATGTGTGTAAGCAAGCAAACAAAAACATATTAAATAAAATATTCCTTCTCAAGGTTTTGGTATTTGATATGATCTTTATTTATTTATTAGTTAAAATAACAAGTATGTCTAGCATTAGGTTGGAGGGAGTGCGTCCATAAGGACGCTCGCCTCCAGCTCGTCATGGACTCACTACACCACATCTTCACCTTCGCTCGAGGAGTCGCCAAAGATGGGTCGCTACACCTTAGCGAGACGAGAGAGAAAGCAAGAGAAAGCTGTGATTGGTGGTTGGGCTTTTGTACAAAAATCGAATATATAATCCTAGATCAAAATAATAAGAAGGATGATGAACCTTTGGGTGATCTTGAGCCTTCAATGGACCATAGTCGAAGCTTCAATTTTTGTTGCTAATTTTTAGCGTTCTTTTAACCAGAAAAATTGGGGAAGAAGCTTCGATTCTTTTAAGAGCATCTCCATCCTACTCTCATTCTCCATTTTCTCTCCCATTCTTCTCCAACCCTCCCCCATTTATTCCCCCATTTTGGGGGATATCAATAGTATTACACCAAATATGGTGGTATACTATTCATTTCCCCAAAATGGGGATGAACTTTACGTTGTCGGTTTTAGCTCCTCTGTTTATATATTTATACATTTCTAGTTCGTTTTTACCTATTAATTATAATTTAAATATAATATTTAATAATTATAATATTTTATTATATATTAAATTATATTAATTAATTATAAATATAAAATTTGTTTTTTTTTATCAAATTCATATAAAAAATTAAATACATATTGAAATTCTAAAAAATGATAACGTATTTTACAAAAATTATAATTAAAATATATATTACAAATATGATAGAGGTTGAGTTGACGACAGACGAAGACAATTAATTCCAACAATTTATTGCTCGATATAAACGTATTAAAGATAAAGAAGCACAATTCAGTCTACGAAATACGTTAGTTGATCATTTGTGGGAAATTTATTCCAACGTATAAATATGTTATCTATGCATGCATAGTATTTATTTAAAAATATGTATGTCTAATATTTATATAAATATATGTATAATATTTATTTATAAGGGTGTATGTGTAATACTTTTATAAATTCGTGTATAATATTTATTTATAAGTGTATTATAAATATAATATTGTTTTTTAATATTAATGTAATGAAAAAAAATATAAATTATATATTTGTTAAAACTAAATTAGTAGAGGGTATGTTTGCAAACATATGTAAATTGGAATAATAGAATATATTTGAAATATACTTTTTAGAGTTAAAAATGAGGGAAAAAATGGAGTAGGGTTGGAGATAAAATACTATTACTTTATTTTTTTACTCCATTTTTTTTTGAGGAAAATAGGAATGGGTTGGAGATAGTGTGATAGAGAATTATGAGGAAGATCAACAAATTACACATTTAGCCCCTAAAGTTTCAACAATTTAGTATTTTTTGTCCAAAAATAAAAACCTTTTTATTTAATTTTGATAAAAAAAAATCAAAAAGTGTTAGGGATGTTACCATTCCCTATAAAATGTTAAGTAAAAAATTGCTAATGAGATGGCAGACCAAACAATTCACATGGCAGAAAAAAAATAATGTGAGAGGAGGCTAAAAATAATCTAATGTAATATTTGATTGGAAGTAACTTTAGGAGACTGAACTGAATTAAATTGATTATTTATTAGGCGTTTGACAAGGATAGGACTTTATGATATCATACTTATACGTGAATGACATATGACGTTTGTCGTGGACTGAAATAAGGATTCAATGATACAATCAAATATTACACACGTTCATATATAATTTTTTTTTTTGTATGTACTTATGAAACTTAATTTTAGTTTTTTTATATATTTTTTCGGAAATTTTGATTTACTATTTTAATTATTTTTTATTAAACTTGATTTTTGATTTTTTTTTCTCTTCTATATAATTCTTTTAATGTGTTTAGTACGTCTTTTAAGTTTCTAACTTTTTTTTTAATACTTTTTGAACCAGAAATCTGTTTGAGGTTGAATGTCTAATAATGATATATAAAAGTTTGGATAATAAAAGACTAAGAATTATAATATTTTTAGATCATGGGGTGAGCAACAACCGCTTCGCAATTAAAAGTAACCGTAAAAACCGTAAAACCGATGATGAAGTTTTATGTTTTTCAAAAATCGCAAATTTGCGGTGCAACTAAGTTATTAGTTTTCAAAAACTACACCGCACCGCATATATTATATATAATTTTTTATTAATTATTAATATATTAAATATTAAAAATAAGATAAGTTTTATTAATGAAAGATGAATAAAATACTAGAAGACAAAAGTATGGTTTTTTGTAAGGTTTAACTTTGAAAAATAGTGAAAATAGACAAATTTAATAAATTTATTGTTTAATTACTATTGATTTGATATTTTTAAGACATTAATTGTTTGTGATTTAAGTTAATTTTCTTATACATTATGATTTTATTATTATTACAAGTAATATGTTTGAACTCTTAAAATCGTTTGAGCTTTAAACTATGGTTAAAAATCACACAAAATAACCGCACCAAATCCATGCGGTTAACAACTACAACATGTAAAAAAATAAAACCGCACTACAAAAATAACGTCTAACCGCACCGCAAAAATAACTGCACCAAGTGGTTTTGAAATTTGATTAACCGTATTTGTGGTTGGATGTGAAGTTTTGGCTAATTACTGCACCGAACTGCACCGCACTCTCCCCTTGTTTGTACCATATCATTTTTGGATAATTTGATTTCGAAACAAAATATTTTCACATAAATCAACATTGTGTTCGTAACAAAAATTTAATTATTACATTTTTTTAATCATATAATTTTGAATTGTAAAATATACTATTAAGGGTCATAATATTTTTTTTGGATCAAAATATTTACTATCGTAAGCCTATTTAATCAGTTAAATTTTGGACCATAAATAATTTAAATCATCTAATTTTTTATCATAGGATATTTGATATTGATTTTAAGAAAATGCAATCTTGTATGATAAAGTGTTATATCAAAACCAGCTTATTTTTAATTTTTTTCAAAGAGTTTATATATATATATATATATATATATATATATATATATATATATATATATATATATATATATATATATATATATATATATATATATATATATATTAAAAATTTGATTTTAAAAGTAACATTTCTATATTAGAATTAAACTATTAGTTATCATCGTACAAAAAATGAAAAGGTAAACGCACTACAAATTGCACTGCTAAACTTTTTTGTATGCTAAGTCAATTATTTTGAAGACTACATTCATAGATATAGGGGATATAATAGTTTTATTTTTATAAAAATTTGGATTGCTTTAAACAAAATGTAGTTATCCTTAACAAATAATATTTTTAATTTTTTTTTACCAACTTACTAAAACAATTAATTAATGAGCTCCTTCATTTTTTCTTTTATGAGTTTGAAGAAAAAAAATTCTTTTATATTTTATGAAAACCAATACTTCTTAAAATTATAAAATATTAAGACATCAAAAATTAGTTTTTATTTTTTAAAAAAAACTTATTAATATAGTGAATAAAAATATATCTGAATTTTTCATGATTTTTGTAGAATTCTTTAAAGTTTTATAAAAATAAAAATTTAAAAATATATTTCAAAATTTTTAGGAACTGTATACTCATTTTGTAAAGAATTATTATAATTTTTTTTTTTCATATTTCTTTTTCAAAAAGAATAATTTATAGCCGAAAAACAAAGTAACTAAAAATAATATTTGGCTAATAGGAGGAGGCATGTCGCTATAGGGGGGCATGTGTTAGCGTGTATATGACCAAAAATGAAGGGTTTTTTGTTTTTTTCCTTTTACGTTCACATGTCACTTTCATGGTGCTCTTAGTAAAATTTTACAAACAATAATCTAGATGTAAATGTTGTTGATTCTGTGTGATTAATAAAAGTTTTTCATTCCTTCATGCGAAAGAATCAAGTTTTGTTTATCTTCGTGTCTCAATGTCTTATGTCTTTCCCCAACAGTTTCTACATCAGATAAAAATAACTTCGGAGAGTGGGGTATCATACTTGTATATATAGTTACCAAAGATTTCTGAAACATGTTTTAATTCCCACTACAACGGATATATAGCGATTAAAAAAACTACAAAGGATATATGATACGTTTGCAGTTCATGCAAACAAGTATAAACAATATATTAATTTCTTTCACACTTACAAGTGCACGCATAGACATACTTCAACATTATAAGTTGATAAAGTAATACGAACTTTACGCTAATATATCTAATAATAATTAAAATGTTTGCCTTTATATCGGTATGAATTAATAAATATGAAGATCGAAAAAATTTCAAACTTAAAAACATGGGTATTTACAGAATTTATATTTTTGTATGCATTTAAGGCCAACAAACCTTTTCTCTAAAACCGCAAGTCCTAATTTGTTCAAGTCCATAGGATTGGAACTCTCGATATAGGGTCAGTAATTTACGAGGGAAATATAGGCATCCATGTCTTTTTTTTTCAAAATACCCTTACTCTACCAACATATATTTTCATTAAGGTTTATAATTCTATGTTTTTTGAATTGTGTGAATTCGCATAAAAGGTGTATATAAAGAATTTTATCTAAACTATCACAAACATTTGTCAAATGGTAAGAACATACCTGCACATACGTCACTATCACCTTGCTCCTGGATAGATCTTCTCCAGCGGCTAGATGTATCTTGGATGGCTCCACTCATCATGCCTTTTCTGAATCCATGTTTTGAATACGCTTCTTGAGTAAACCTTTTTTCAGTTGTTACTATAGATGCTTTCGCAAGGTCAATCCTGCAATAAACACATAGCATGGCAGCTAAGAGCACCATGGAAACACTGCAGTTCTTGTGACCCATATTGTGCATGCACTTGTATGTGTAGACTCGTATGTTATATTATATAGAGATTAACGATCAGCAGGTTGAAGTATGTTGACCTGTTAGTTCTTAAAACCTTGAACAATAACAGGCTTTGAGAGAAAAGAATTAAAGACAATGATTTGTTGCAATATTTAAGGCACAACTCTTTCCGTGCAAATTGGAGAATCCTTGTCACCATTACCGAGTAATCTAATATTTTTCTCTGCATGTTTAAGAAAATATGGACCAGTTCAATTGAAATATTATTTAGAAAGAAGACATTGATTATTGACTTTTCAGAATAGAAACCAGTGGTGCATTGTTAATGGCTGGTTTTACATACTTTTCTTATTATATAAATCTAGAAACCAGTCGACCAGGCAAGTTCCATTTAGTCTACATATTGAAGTCTACAATAGTTATCAACTCGTTTTTGACTTATAACTCAATTTAATATACAGGAAATTATATATAGCATAATGTATAAACAAATTAAATTTACCTCTTTCTTTAAATTAGATTTATAATACAAATGCAAATATAATCACAAAGTAAATAAATTAATAATTATGGTTCGTATCATTTAAAATCGTCAAATATATATATATATATATATATATATATATATATATATATATATATATATATATATATATATATATATATATAGGGTAAAGTGAATATACCTAACAACCTTATATAAGCTTAGGTACCTAACCACATCATACTACGTAATTTTGTATCATATCTGCATTGTAATCACCCAAAGTTTTTAAAATTCAACCTCATAACTTGATTGCTTCCAAAATCTTTGGACTTTTACCATTATCTTCCTTCAAATGACGTCTTTCTATCGTAGACCCCCTGGTGGGCTTTATATACTGCCGTTACAAATCAAATGATATAGGAGGAATATAATGGTGAACCTTTGAAAATCTTGGAAGTAAATCAAATTAAGGGTTGAAGTTTAAGAACCTTAGACAATTGCAATGGAAATATAATGCAAAACGATGTAGTATAATGTGGTTAGGTACCTAAGCTTATATAAGGTTGTTAGGTATATTCACTTTACCCATATATATATATATATATATATATATATATATATATATATATATATATATATATATATATATTACAAAAGAGTTTTTTTAGTGCGAATCCTTTTTTTTTTTTTTGAGGCGGTTGTATATAAAAACCTCCTCATTAAATGGCTGCAGCATCAAAAAATACGAAAACCGCATTTAAAGAGCACTAACAAGTATCCTTCAATAGATTTATTAATGCGGTTTAAGAAAAATAGTATTAAAAACGATTTTTTGATGCTACTTGTTGTAAACGCACCATTAAATTATGAGTTTTTGGTGCATTTTTGTTTATAAACCGCATTAATAAATTTCGATTTTTTGATGCGTTTTTCTGAAATACGCATCAATTAAAAGCTAGTGCTTTATCCGTAACTGAGTATATCCTTCGAGGGTTTCTGTTTTAAATGCGAACGTTCTTCTTCGTCGTAAATTCCCTATGCAACTGCATAAAAACTCAAAATAGCCTCATTAAATTGTCTAGTTATCTTCATTAATGGTAAATTTAATTTTATTGTTCTTTTGATTTTATTCTACATATTTATTTATTAAATGATTGTTTAGTTGTTATTTTTTAATTTGATTTTTATAGTTTATTAAACATGTTAAAATTACATAACCTGTTTGTTGAAAATCGATATATTACATTCTTTATTTGTTTATTTTAATTTTCAGATGAACCATGATTATTGGATGTACAAAGCTTCACTTTTTCTGAACTTTATATAGAGGGTGTTCGAACTTTTATTAGGGTTGCCGAAGCAAATCGCGTGAATAAAGGAAATGAATTGATTTCTTGTCCTTGTAACCTTTGTAAAAACTTTAAAACGTTTAATTGTACGGGAGAAATAGAGTATCATTTGTTGCCAAATGGTTTTGTGCCTAATTACACTTATTGGTCAAGACATGGAGAAAGACTTCTTGATCGTGGCACATCGTCGAACAATTTAAATATTAATAATAGTACATACAATAATGATTCATATGTTGATGATGATCACCATTCAAATGACCCAGATGACAATTTTACTGAAGTGTTTGATGACATGGAGACTAATATGGGTGATGCTGAACAAGAAAAATTGTAACGCCTATTTGAAGATGTAGAAACACCGTTATAAAGCGGTTCCAAATTTATGAAACTCGATGTGGTATTGAGGTTGATTAACATAAAGTCGAAAAACGGATGGAGTGATAAGTGTTTCACAAGTCTATTAGAGGTTTTGCATTACATTCTTCCGAAAGTTAATCAATTACCCATTTCTACATATCAAGCAAAAATGGTAATGTGTCCGATGGGATTAGAAGTTGAAAGAATACATGCATGTCCAAATAATTGTATGTTGTATAGAAAGGAGTTCGAGAATAAACATAATTGTGTTTATTGCGGTGCATCGATGTATAAACGGAAAAAAGATTCAGATGTAGTAGACGATGATGTGACAAAAAAAATGGACCATTGACTAAAACGTTGTGGCATCTCCCTATTATACCAAGACTAAAAAGGTTATTTTCAAATGAAAAAGAAGCAAAGTTACTTTGTTGGCATTCAGAAGAACGTGTAATCGACGGAAAACTAAGACATGTTGCAGATTCACCTCAGTGTAGAAATATTGATAAGAAGTATCCTGAAATTGGAAAAGAGATGAGAAACATACGATTTGGGCTTAGTTTAGATGGCATCAATCATTTTGGGGACATCAGAAGTTATCATGGTACGTGGCCAGTTCTTTTATGCATTTACAATCTTCCACTGTGGTTATGCATGAAACAAAAATACATTATGACGTCATTGTTGATTCAGGGGCGAGACAACCTGGTAACGATATTGACGTGTATTTGTCTCCTTTGATTGATGACTTAAAAATTCTTTGGAGTTCGGGTGTAGATATATATGATGCTTATAAGAAACAACACTTTCAATTGCGGGCCATGATTTTTTGTACTATAAGTTATTTCCAGCATATGATAACTGGTTAGGATACAAAACAAAGGGTAAGAAAGCTTTTCCAATTTGTGAATATCAAACAAGCTCGATATGGTTAACAAATTGCAAAAAAAAAACTGTATACAAGAGACATCAAAGATTCCTTCCGAAGGGTCACCGTTTTAGGAAGAAAAATATTGAGTTTGACGGAAGTATTGAGATTAGAACAATGATAAAACGATTTGATGCATTTTCACGAGTTGCAAATATAAGTGTTGTGTTGGGAAAAAGATTTCGTGTTCATAAAAGTACCCTTTGAAAAAAAAATCAAATTTTTTTTTTGAATTGCCTTACTGGAGACATTTGGATGTTAGACATTGTCTAGATGTTATGCATATAGAAAAAAATGTATGTGAGAGCTTTATATGCTTATTATTAGATATGAAGCATAAAATTAAAGAGGTCAACGTCCGAAAGGACATGACCGAGCTGGGGATACATGAAGGTCTTGCCCCCGAACACAGTGTTAACGGTGTTTATCTCCCACCTGCTTCTTATACTACATCAAAAAAAGAAAAAATAAAGTTTTGTCAATGTTTACATGATATTAAGGTCCCATCAACTTATTCTGCAAAATTAAAAGATTTGTGTAGATTAAAGACTGTAAATTGTTTGGAATGAAGTCTCATGATTGTCATGTTTTGATGACACATATGATTCCTATCACAATTCGTGGAATTTTACAAGATGATGTCTGACATTCTATCACTAAGCTTTGTTTGTTTTTAACAACATTCACTCAAAGGTATTGATGTAGAAGGTTTGGATCAATGGGAAAAAGACGTTTACGTTACACTTTGTGAACTAGAGATGTACTTTCCACCCTCATTTTTTGATATAATTGTTCACCTAATATCTCATATCATACAAGAAATTAAGTCTTGTGGTCCTGTATTCTTACGATACATGTACCCTTTTGAATGATACACGAGTATCCTAAAAGGTTATGTAAGAAACCGTAATCCGCCAGAGGGCAGTATTGTTGAAGGGTATACTTGTGAAGACGTGATTGAGTTCTGCCAAGGTAATTAATAATATATTGCATTTATAATAATTAATAATATATTTTATATAATATTAATATTTTTATAGGCTATATGAAAGATATCGAAAGTGTTGGTGTTCCTCAAAAACTCGTCATTCAGGTCGAGTTGAAGGTAAGGGAGGAGTAGGTTTCAAAATAACCATGCCAACTTATGAAAAGTTACAAGTTGCACATTTAGTGGCCCTAAAACATATGAAATGTGTTACTCCTTATGTTGATGCACGCATGGACATGTTAAAGTCGAAAGACCCATGTAAGGAACAAATGTGGTACATAAACAATCACAACAAATAGTTTTCGAGGTGGCTCGAAAAGAAGGTAGCAAAAATTAATGTTGATGAAACCGTGAAAAGGTTGGGACGTGGGCCAGATTGTAGAGTTAAATCTTATCAAGGGTATGACATTAACGATTATATGTTTTACACCAAAGATCGAGATGAAAAAGTACAATGCAGAATAGTGGAGTTACAATCATTGCATCAACGACCGAATTCGACAGACATGATCATGATACTTTGATAAGAATAGTCAAAGATTCTTATTATGGCGTTATAAAAAAATTGGGAGTTGAACTATTATGACTTTGTTATTCTTGTGTTCAAATGTAAATTAGTGAATAACCATATAGGTGTTCAAGTTGATCAAATAATGGCTATGTATCTGAACCATTCGTTCTCGCAAAATATGTCACACAGGTTTTCTTTATCAAAGACCCAAGCAAGAAAAAAGAGCACATCGTCTAACAAGGCAAACAACATATTCTTGGTGTTGATAATGTCGTTGACGAATAAGAATACAACCACTTTGCTGATCTACCACCATTTTTGGATGGAATTGAACCCGATAATTACGATAATATTGAACGCACAACATTCATACGATCTAACATCAAAGGGACATATGTTGATTAAGTGCATTAATGGGTTTTTTTTTTTTTTTTTCATTTTTGAATATTGTTTTTACATGATTTTTGTATCAAATACTATCTATTGATAAAGTAATAACAATATTGTCCTTATCTTTTGATAATTACAATTTTTGTATAATTGTTACAAAAAAATATTGAACAAAATTTAAATTTA